GGTCTAAGCTTAAACATGTAGCATCTTCACAGTGGCTTTTTGCTTTGCTCTTCAACCCTCAATGCAGTGACACTGGTTTTCTTATCAAAATAATGAGGTTCGTAGGGGTCAAGTTTTAAATAAAATGTGATACAAGCTGCCATGCAGTTATGTAGTTTTTCAATGATCGTCTCTGTCATTGAAGGAAACAAGGGATCCAACTCCAATGTGTCCTGTGTGAAAGTGAAATGTCCCCAAACTCACTCAATCAGGCAATTAATGTTGGTTTTTACTTTTCCTTCAATAATTTAAATGAGCTCTTCGATGCTGTATTTTCTGTTCGCTCTTGTTTCTCTTGTCTAATGACTTTTGGTATGAAGATCTGAAACCATTTGTAGCAAGAAATATGCGAAAATAGACAACATCACGAGTGAGCTAATACTTCTTCACAATTTCAGTATGAGGTTGAGGGTTCAATGCTCTGCATCCTCACATCAACTTCTCTGCATTGCTCATCAAACTTCAATAGACTGACAGTTTCTGATTCAAAGTTAAAGCCTTCCCAGGAGTGCCAGCTACTCTCAAAACACTCCAGCAAGCCTGCAAAATATTTCAATTTGAAGACTACCATAATCTTACCCCAGAGCCCTCTGTGGTAGGCCTTTTATTGGTTCCATGGTGCAATGGTTAGCACCCGAACTCTGAATCCAGCGATCCGAGTTTAAATCTCGGTGGAGCCTTCTTTGTTAAAAAGAAAGATGCTTTGAGAATGTACTCTATGCTTATTTCCTCTATTTTACTGCAGAAGTCTTACTTTTTAGTCTTGTGAACATTCCAGAAGGCATTTAGTCTATCATTTTTTTTTTCTTTTTATCCCCTTGTTGCTTGTCTAGTGGGATTCCTGTACATACCTTATTTTGTCAATGCAATCGTAGTTTGAACAGTAAGATTGAAATCCTGGCCGCCGTCATATCGCTCACAGTCAATATTTACCAGTATTCCACATGGAAGGGTTCTCCACATGTGCAAGTAAACGTTTCACACGAGGCTTTCCATGTTGGTTGGGAAACTGAGTTGCACAGCTTTTTTTTTTTTTTTCTTAATTAGTCATCTGTTTGAATCTTTCACATTCTTTCCATCATTTTTAAATAGGGTTAAGAATAGTATTCATCCATGTACGTTCACTCCTTTATGAGCGATACTCAAATGCGCAGTTTGTACTAATCTCTCTCGGTGACCCTCGACTAACAATGAATGCTGAGGTTCGAGATGTAACGGTCTACACTCTGGACTTAAAGTCCCCCATTTTGAATGCAAATGTCAGTCAATTTGGCATTTACGAATTTCCCGTGAAGTGAAGCCAGTGATTTGCATATCCTTACTGGTGGTACAAGACTAGGGCTGTGATGTTGGATTGAAATCAAATAAGCTACCTAGTCACAGTTGGTCACCACATTACTGCTCGGACATACTTGCCTTTGAAAATGGTATCAGTTATGCAAATGCTTTTTTGTCAGATGAGAGTTGTCATTTTAAAGTAACTGCATTATGATCATACCTAATTAGAACAGAGTGAAAACTATGATTGCTTGGAATTATTCTAAATGAGAGATGAGCCTGAATGTTTGTAACTTAGCAGAAAAATTTTGTATTCATGAAATGAACGACCAAATGCGGGGCTTTACAACAAGTTTTATGGGGATGTAGCTCAGTGGGAGAGCGCATGCTTCGCATGTATGAAGTCCTGGGTTCAATCCCCAGCATCTCCATTTGGGCGGGTAGTGCTTTCAACTGCCTGTTTCATCATGACAGGACTGTTTTTCCTTAGGCAGCATGCCCAATTCTCATGGAAAACGCAAGGCTCAAAAAGCCAGTAAAATTGTTTGATTTGAAGCAGGCCGTCATCTTTCTCGAGAGTGCTCCGATTTAAAGGTTCTGCTGGTTCCATGGTGTAATGGTTAGCACTCTGGACTTTGAATCCAGTGATCCGAGTTCAAATCTCGGGTGGACCTCGCTTGCAGAAAAAGAAAGACGCTTTGATGACATATACTTTGCTGATTTCTTCTTTTTCAATGCAGAAGTCTTGCCTTTTGGTCTTGTGAACATTCCAAAAGTTATTTAGTCTAACTTTTTTCTTTTCAGATTATTCGCTTGCTTGATTGTCTTGTGGGATTCCAGTACATACCTTCTTTTGTCAATGCCATTGTAGTTTGAACTGTAAGAGTGGAATTCTGGCCACTATCCTGTCGCTCACAGTCAATATTTACCAGTATTCCACGTGGAAGGGTTCTCCACATGTGCAAGTAAATGTTTCACATGAGGCTTTCCATGTTGCTTGGGAAACTATGTTGCACAGCTTTTTCTAAAAAGATGATTATTCTTCTGTTTGGATCTTTGGCATTATTTTCTGTCATTACAAAATATGGTTAAGAAAGGAATTCATCCATGTACATTCCCTCGCATATTGGCGGTACTTAAAAGTGCTGTTTGTACAAATCTCTCTCGGCGACCCTCGACCAACAATGCATGCTGAGGTTAAAGATGTAACGGTTTACACTCTGAACTTAGGACCCCCATTTTGAATGTAAATGTCAGTAGAGTTGTCATTTCCAAATACCCTGTGAAATAGAGCTAGTGATTTGCATATCCTTACTGGTGGTACAAGACTAGAGCTTTGATGTTGGATTGAAATCAAATAAGCTACCTCGTCACACTTGGTCACCACATTACTGCTCGGACATAATTGCCTTTTAAAATGGTGTCAGTTATTTAAATGCTTATGAGAGTTGCCATTTTAAAGTAACTGCATTATGGTCATACTTAAGTAGAACAGAGTGAAGAATTTTATCGCTTGGAATTGTTCTAAACAAGAGATGAGCCTTAATGTTTGCAAATTTGTGGAAAAAAATTGTGCATTTATGAAATGAACGACCAAATGCTGGGCTGACTATTCTCCTTTGTGGGGATGTAGCTCAGTGGTAGAGCGCATGCTTTGCATGTATGAAGTCCTGGGTTCAATCCCCAGCATCTCCATATGGATGGATGGTGCCTCTTGTTGGCTATAAACTGTATTCCCCTTTAAATTGCCTCTTTTGCCTTGAAAGGACTGTGTCTCATTAGGCAGCATGCCCAATTCTGATGGGGAACGGAAGGTCCCGAAAAAATCGCAGTGGCCCAATGCGCATCTTGCATCTATCGCGGATACTTTGTGACGAGTGTGAAGGCCAGCACCTCTCAAATTAATACCCTGCCAAATGTGGGCACGCTTGTCATACCGGATGTCATGGAACCAATCAACCATTTGGGGGTTGTAGCTCAATATGTGAGGGAATGCTTTACATGCGTGAGGTCTAAGCTTAAACATGTAGCATCTTCACAGTGGCTTTTTGCTTTGCTCTTCAACCCTCAATGCAGTGACACTGGTTTTCTTATCAAAATAATGAGGTTCGTAGGGGTCAAGTTTTAAATAAAATGTGATACAAGCTGCCATGCAGTTATGTAGTTTTTCAATGATCGTCTCTGTCATTGAAGGAAACAAGGGATCCAACTCCAATGTGTCCTGTGTGAAAGTGAAATGTCCCCAAACTCACTCAATCAGGCAATTAATGTTGGTTTTTACTTTTCCTTCAATAATTTAAATGAGCTCTTCGATGCTGTATTTTCTGTTCGCTCTTGTTTCTCTTGTCTAATGACTTTTGGTATGAAGATCTGAAACCATTTGTAGCAAGAAATATGCGAAAATAGACAACATCACGAGTGAGCTAATACTTCTTCACAATTTCAGTATGAGGTTGAGGGTTCAATGCTCTGCATCCTCACATCAACTTCTCTGCATTGCTCATCAAACTTCAATAGACTGACAGTTTCTGATTCAAAGTTAAAGCCTTCCCAGGAGTGCCAGCTACTCTCAAAACACTCCAGCAAGCCTGCAAAATATTTCAATTTGAAGACTACCATAATCTTACCCCAGAGCCCTCTGTGGTAGGCCTTTTATTGGTTCCATGGTGCAATGGTTAGCACCCCGAACTCTGAATCCAGCGATCCGAGTTTAAATCTCGGTGGAGCCTTCTTTGTTAAAAAGAAAGATGCTTTGAGAATGTACTCTATGCTTATTTCCTCTATTTTACTGCAGAAGTCTTGCTTTTTAGTCTTGTGAACATTCCAGAAGGCATTTAGTCTATCATTTTTCTTTCCAGATTATCCCCTTGTTGCTTGTCTAGTGGGATTCCTGTACATACCTTATTTTGTCAATGCAATCGTAGTTTGAACAGTAAGATTGAAATCCTGGCCGCCGTCATATCGCTCACAGTCAATATTTACCAGTATTCCACATGGAAGGGTTCTCCACATGTGCAAGTAAACGTTTCACACGAGGCTTTCCATGTTGGTCGGGAAACTGAGTTGCACAGCTTTTTCTAAAAAGATAATTAGTCATCTGTTTGAATCTTTCACATTCTTTCCATCATTTTTAAATAGGGTTAAGAATAGTATTCATCCATGTACGTTCACTCCTTTATGAGCGATACTCAAATGCGCAGTTTGTACTAATCTCTCTCGGTGACCCTCGACTAACAATGAATGCTGAGGTTCGAGATGTAACGGTCTACACTCTGGACTTAAAGTCCCCCATTTTGAATGCAAATGTCAGTCAATTTGGCATTTACGAATTTCCCGTGAAGTGAAGCCAGTGATTTGCATATCCTTACTGGTGGTACAAGACTAGGGCTGTGATGTTGGATTGAAATCAAATAAGCTACCTAGTCACAGTTGGTCACCACATTACTGCTCGGACATACTTGCCTTTGAAAATGGTATCAGTTATGCAAATGCTTTTTTGTCAGATGAGAGTTGTCATTTTAAAGTAACTGCATTATGATCATACCTAATTAGAACAGAGTGAAAACTATGATTGCTTGGAATTATTCTAAATGAGAGATGAGCCTGAATGTTTGTAACTTAGCAGAAAAATTTTGTATTCATGAAATGAACGACCAAATGCGGGGCTTTACAACAAGTTTTATGGGGATGTAGCTCAGTGGGAGAGCGCATGCTTCGCGCATGTATGAAGTCCTGGGTTCAATCCCCAGCATCTCCATTTGGGCGGGTAGTGCTTTCAACTGCCTGTTTCATCATGACAGGACTGTTTTTCCTTAGGCAGCATGCCCAATTCTCATGGAAAACGCAAGGCTCAAAAAGCCAGTAAAATTGTTTGATTTGAAGCAGGCCGTCATCTTTCTCGAGAGTGCTCCGATTTAAAGGTTCTGCTGGTTCCATGGTGTAATGGTTAGCACTCTGGACTTTGAATCCAGTGATCCGAGTTCAAATCTCGGTGGAACCTCGCTTGCAGAAAAGAAAGACGCTTTGATGACATATACTTTGCTGATTTCTTCTTTTTCAATGCAGAAGTCTTGCCTTTTGGTCTTGTGAACATTCCAAAAGTTATTTAGTCTAACTTTTTCCTTTCAGATTATTCGCTTGCTTGATTGTCTTGTGGGATTCCAGTACATACCTTCTTTTGTCAATGCCATTGTAGTTTGAACTGTAAGAGTGGAATTCTGGCCACTATCCTGTCGCTCACAGTCAATATTTACCAGTATTCCACGTGGAAGGGTTCTCCACATGTGCAAGTAAATGTTTCACATGAGGCTTTCCATGTTGCTTGGGAAACTATGTTGCACAGCTTTTTCTAAAAAGATGATTATTCTTCTGTTTGGATCTTTGGCATTATTTTCTGTCATTACAAAATATGGTTAAGAAAGGAATTCATCCATGTACATTCCCTCGCATATTGGCGGTACTTAAAAGTGCTGTTTGTACAAATCTCTCGGCGACCCTCGACCAACAATGCATGCTGAGGTTAAAGATGTAACGGTTTACACTCTGAACTTAGGACCCCCATTTTGAATGTAAATGTCAGTAGAGTTGTCATTTCCAAATACCCTGTGAAATAGAGCTAGTGATTTGCATATCCTTACTGGTGGTACAAGACTAGAGCTTTGATGTTGGATTGAAATCAAATAAGCTACCTCGTCACACTTGGTCACCACATTACTGCTCGGACATAATTGCCTTTTAAAATGGTGTCAGTTATTTAAATGCTTATGAGAGTTGCCATTTTAAAGTAACTGCATTATGATCATACTTAAGTAGAACAGAGTGAAGAATTTTATCGCTTGGAATTGTTCTAAACAAGAGATGAGCCTTAATGTTTGAAAAAAAAAAAAATTGTGCATTTATGAAATGAACGACCAAATGCTGGGCTGACTATTTTCCCTTTGTGGGGATGTAGCTCAGTGGTAGAGCGCATGCTTTGCATGTATGAAGTCCTGGGTTCAATCCCCAGCATCTCCATATGGATGGATGGTGCCTCTTGTTGGCTATAAATTGTATTCCCCTTTAAATTGTCTCTTTTGCCTTGAAAGGACTGTGTCTCATTAGGCAGCATGCCCAATTCTGATGGGGAACGGAAGGTCCCGAAAAAATCGCAATGGCCCAATGCGCATCTTGCATCTATCGCGGATACTTTGTGACGAGTGTCAAGGCCAGCACCTCTCAAATTAATACCCTGCCAAATGTGGGCACGCTTGTCATACCGGATGTCATGGAACCAATCAACCATTTGGGGGTTGTAGCTCAATATGTGAGGGAATGCTTTACATGCGTGAGGTCTAAGCTTAAACATGTAGCATCTTCACAGTGGCTTTTTGCTTTGCTCTTCAACCCTCAATGCAGTGACACTGGTTTTCTTATCAAAATAATGAGGTTCGTAGGGGTCAAGTTTTAAATAAAATGTGATACAAGCTGCCATGCAGTTATGTAGTTTTTCAATGATCGTCTCTGTCATTGAAGGAAACAAGGGATCCAACTCCAATGTGTCCTGTGTGAAAGTGAAATGTCCCCAAACTCACTCAATCAGGCAATTAATGTTGGTTTTTACTTTTCCTTCAATAATTTAAATGAGCTCTTCGATGCTGTATTTTCTGTTCGCTCTTGTTTCTCTTGTCTAATGACTTTTGGTATGAAGATCTGAAACCATTTGTAGCAAGAAATATGCGAAAATAGACAACATCACGAGTGAGCTAATACTTCTTCACAATTTCAGTATGAGGTTGAGGGTTCAATGCTCTGCATCCTCACATCAACTTCTCTGCATTGCTCATCAAACTTCAATAGACTGACAGTTTCTGATTCAAAGTTAAAGCCTTCCCAGGAGTGCCAGCTACTCTCAAAACACTCCAGCAAGCCTGCAAAATATTTCAATTTGAAGACTACCATAATCTTACCCCAGAGCCCTCTGTGGTAGGCCTTTTATTGGTTCCATGGTGCAATGGTTAGCACCCCGAACTCTGAATCCAGCGATCCGAGTTTAAATCTCGGTGGAGCCTTCTTTGTTAAAAAGAAAGATGCTTTGAGAATGTACTCTATGCTTATTTCCTCTATTTTACTGCAGAAGTCTTACTTTTTAGTCTTGTGAACATTCCAGAAGGCATTTAGTCTATCATTTTTTCTTTCCAGATTATCCCCTTGTTGCTTGTCTAGTGGGATTCCTGTACATACCTTATTTTGTCAATGCAATCGTAGTTTGAACAGTAAGATTGAAATCCTGGCCGCCGTCATATCGCTCACAGTCAATATTTACCAGTATTCCACATGGAAGGGTTCTCCACATGTGCAAGTAAACGTTTCACACGAGGCTTTCCATGTTGGTCGGGAAACTGAGTTGCACAGCTTTTTCTAAAAAGATAATTAGTCATCTGTTTGAATCTTTCACATTCTTTCCATCATTTTTAAATAGGGTTAAGAATAGTATTCATCCATGTACGTTCACTCCTTTATGAGCGATACTCAAATGCGCAGTTTGTACTAATCTCTCTCGGTGACCCTCGACTAACAATGAATGCTGAGGTTCGAGATGTAACGGTCTACACTCTGGACTTAAAGTCCCCCATTTTGAATGCAAATGTCAGTCAATTTGGCATTTACGAATTTCCCGTGAAGTGAAGCCAGTGATTTGCATATATCCTACTGGTGGTACAAGACTAGGGCTGTGATGTTGGATTGAAATCAAATAAGCTACCTAGTCACAGTTGGTCACCACATTACTGCTCGGACATACTTGCCTTTGAAAATGGTATCAGTTATGCAAATGCTTTTTTGTCAGATGAGAGTTGTCATTTTAAAGTAACTGCATTATGATCATACCTAATTAGAACAGAGTGAAAACTATGATTGCTTGGAATTATTCTAAATGAGAGATGAGCCTGAATGTTTGTAACTTAGCAGAAAAATTTTGTATTCATGAAATGAACGACCAAATGCGGGGCTTTACAACAAGTTTTATGGGGATGTAGCTCAGTGGGAGAGCGCATGCTTCGCATGTATGAAGTCCTGGGTTCAATCCCCAGCATCTCCATTTGGGCGGGTAGTGCTTTCAACTGCCTGTTTCATCATGACAGGACTGTTTTTCCTTAGGCAGCATGCCCAATTCTCATGGAAAAAAAAAAAAAAAAAAAGCCAGTAAAATTGTTTGATTTGAAGCAGGCCGTCATCTTTCTCGAGAGTGCTCCGATTTAAAGGTTCTGCTGGTTCCATGGTGTAATGGTTAGCACTCTGGACTTTGAATCCAGTGATCCGAGTTCAAATCTCGGTGGAACCTCGCTTGCAGAAAAGAAAGACGCTTTGATGACATATACTTTGCTGATTTCTTCTTTTTCAATGCAGAAGTCTTGCCTTTTGGTCTTGTGAACATTCCAAAAGTTATTTAGTCTAACTTTTTCCTTTCAGATTATTCGCTTGCTTGATTGTCTTGTGGGATTCCAGTACATACCTTCTTTTGTCAATGCCATTGTAGTTTGAACTGTAAGAGTGGAATTCTGGCCACTATCCTGTCGCTCACAGTCAATATTTACCAGTATTCCACGTGGAAGGGTTCTCCACATGTGCAAGTAAATGTTTCACATGAGGCTTTCCATGTTGCTTGGGAAACTATGTTGCACAGCTTTTTCTAAAAAGATGATTATTCTTCTGTTTGGATCTTTGGCATTATTTTCTGTCATTACAAAATATGGTTAAGAAAGGAATTCATCCATGTACATTCCCTCGCATATTGGCGGTACTTAAAAAAGTGCTGTTTGTACAAATCTCTCTCGGCGACCCTCGACCAACAATGCATGCTGAGGTTAAAGATGTAACGGTTTACACTCTGAACTTAGGACCCCCATTTTGAATGTAAATGTCAGTAGAGTTGTCATTTCCAAATACCCTGTGAAATAGAGCTAGTGATTTGCATATCCTTACTGGTGGTACAAGACTAGAGCTTTGATGTTGGATTGAAATCAAATAAGCTACCTCGTCACACTTGGTCACCACATTACTGCTCGGACATAATTGCCTTTTTAAAATGGTGTCAGTTATTTAAATGCTTATGAGAGTTGCCATTTTAAAGTAACTGCATTATGATCATACTTAAGTAGAACAGAGTGAAGAATTTTATCGCTTGGAATTGTTCTAAACAAGAGATGAGCCTTAATGTTTGCAAATTTGCGGAAAAAAATTGTGCATTTATGAAATGAACGACCAAATGCTGGGCTGACTATTTTCCTCTGTGGGGATGTAGCTCAGTGGTAGAGCGCATGCTTTGCATGTATGAAGTCCTGGGTTCAATCCCCAGCATCTCCATATGGATGGATGGTGCCTCTTGTTGGCTATAAATTGTATTCCCCTTTAAATTGTCTCTTTTGCCTTGAAAGGACTGTGTCTCATTAGGCAGCATGCCCAATTCTGATGGGGAACGGAAGGTCCCGAAAAAAATCGCAATGGCCCAATGCGCATCTTGCATCTATCGCGGATACTTTGTGACGAGTGTCAAGGCCAGCACCTCTCAAATTAATACCCTGCCAAATGTGGGCACGCTTGTCATACCGGATGTCATGGAACCAATCAACCATTTGGGGGTTGTAGCTCAATATGTGAGGGAATGCTTTACATGCGTGAGGTCTAAGCTTAAACATGTAGCATCTTCACAGTGGCTTTTTGCTTTGCTCTTCAACCCTCAATGCAGTGACACTGGTTTTCTTATCAAAATAATGAGGTTCGTAGGGGTCAAGTTTTAAATAAAATGTGATACAAGCTGCCATGCAGTTATGTAGTTTTTCAATGATCGTCTCTGTCATTGAAAGAAAAAAAAAAAAGGGATCCAACTCCAATGTGTCCTGTGTGAAAGTGAAATGTCCCCAAACTCACTCAATCAGGCAATTAATGTTGGTTTTTACTTTTCCTTCAATAATTTAAATGAGCTCTTCGATGCTGTATTTTCTGTTCGCTCTTGTTTCTCTTGTCTAATGACTTTTGGTATGAAGATCTGAAACCATTTGTAGCAAGAAATATGCGAAAAATAGACAACATCACGAGTGAGCTAATACTTCTTCACAATTTCAGTATGAGGTTGAGGGTTCAATGCTCTGCATCCTCACATCAACTTCTCTGCATTGCTCATCAAACTTCAATAGACTGACAGTTTCTGATTCAAAGTTAAAGCCTTCCCAGGAGTGCCAGCTACTCTCAAAACACTCCAGCAAGCCTGCAAAATATTTCAATTTGAAGACTACCATAATCTTACCCCAGAGCCCTCTGTGGTAGGCCTTTTATTGGTTCCATGGTGCAATGGTTAGCACCCCGAACTCTGAATCCAGCGATCCGAGTTTAAATCTCGGTGGAGCCTTCTTTGTTAAAAAGAAAGATGCTTTGAGAATGTACTCTATGCTTATTTCCTCTATTTTACTGCAGAAGTCTTACTTTTTAGTCTTGTGAACATTCCAGAAGGCATTTAGTCTATCATTTTTCTTTCCAGATTATCCCCTTGTTGCTTGTCTAGTGGGATTCCTGTACATACCTTATTTTGTCAATGCAATCGTAGTTTGAACAGTAAGATTGAAATCCTGGCCACCGTCATATCGCTCACAGTCAATATTTACCAGTATTCCACATGGAAGGGTTCTCCACATGTGCAAGTAAACGTTTCACACGAGGCTTTCCATGTTGGTCGGGAAACTGAGTTGCACAGCTTTTTTTTTTTTCTAAAAAAGATAATTAGTCATCTGTTTGAATCTTTCACATTCTTTCCATCATTTTTAAATAGGGTTAAGAATAGTATTCATCCATGTACGTTCACTCCTTTATGAGCGATACTCAAATGCGCAGTTTGTACTAATCTCTCGGTGACCCTCGACTAACAATGAATGCTGAGGTTCGAGATGTAACGGTCTACACTCTGGACTTAAAGTCCCCCATTTTGAATGCAAATGTCAGTCAATTTGGCATTTACGAATTTCCCGTGAAGTGAAGCCAGTGATTTGCATATCCTTACTGGTGGTACAAGACTAGGGCTGTGATGTTGGATTGAAATCAAATAAGCTACCTAGTCACAGTTGGTCACCACATTACTGCTCGGACATACTTGCCTTTGAAAATGGTATCAGTTATGCAAATGCTTTTTTGTCAGATGAGAGTTGTCATTTTAAAGTAACTGCATTATGATCATACCTAATTAGAACAGAGTGAAAACTATGATTGCTTGGAATTATTCTAAATGAGAGATGAGCCTGAATGTTTGTAACTTAGCAGAAAAATTTTGTATTCATGAAATGAACGACCAAATGCGGGGCTTTACAACAAGTTTTATGGGGATGTAGCTCAGTGGGAGAGCGCATGCTTCGCATGTATGAAGTCCTGGGTTCAATCCCCAGCATCTCCATTTGGGCGGGTAGTGCTTTCAACTGCCTGTTTCATCATGACAGGACTGTTTTTCCTTAGGCAGCATGCCCAATTCTCATGGAAAACGCAAGGCTCAAAAAGCCAGTAAAATTGTTTGATTTGAAGCAGGCCGTCATCTTTTTCGAGAGTGCTCTCGATTTAAAGGTTCTGGGTTCCATGGTGTAATGGTTAGCACTCTGGACTTTGAATCCAGTGATCCGAGTTCAAATCTCGGTGGAACCTCGCTTGCAGAAAAGAAAGACGCTTTGATGATATATACTTTGCTGATTTCTTCTTTTTCAATGCAGAAGTCTTGCCTTTTGGTCTTGTGAACATTCCAAAAGTTATTTAGTCTAACTTTTTCCTTTCAGATTATTCGCTTGCTTGATTGTCTTGTGGGATTCCAGTACATACCTTCTTTTGTCAATGCCATTGTAGTTTGAACTGTAAGAGTGGAATTCTGGCCACTATCCTGTCGCTCACAGTCAATATTTACCAGTATTCCACGTGGAAGGGTTCTCCACATGTGCAAGTAAATGTTTCACATGAGGCTTTCCATGTTGCTTGGGAAACTATGTTGCACAGCTTTTTCTAAAAAGATGATTATTCTTCTGTTTGGATCTTTGGCATTATTTTCTGTCATTACAAAATATGGTTAAGAAAGGAATTCATCCATGTACATTCCCTCGCATATGCGGTACTTAAAAGTGCTGTTTGTACAAATCTCTCGGCGACCCTCGACCAACAATGCATGCTGAGGTTAAAGATGTAACGGTTTACACTCTGAACTTAGGACCCCCATTTTGAATGTAAATGTCAGTAGAGTTGTCATTTCCAAATACCCTGTGAAATAGAGCTAGTGATTTGCATATCCTTACTGGTGGTACAAGACTAGAGCTTTGATGTTGGATTGAAATCAAATAAGCTACCTCGTCACACTTGGTCACCACATTACTGCTCGGACATAATTGCCTTTTAAAATGGTGTCAGTTATTTAAATGCTTATGAGAGTTGCCATTTTAAAGTAACTGCATTATGATCATACTTAAGTAGAACAGAGTGAAGAATTTTATCGCTTGGAATTGTTCTAAACAAGAGATGAGCCTTAATGTTTGCAAATTTGCGGAAAAAAATTGTGCATTTATGAAATGAACGACCAAATGCTGGGCTGACTATTTTCCTCTGTGGGGATGTAGCTCAGTGGTAGAGCGCATGCTTTGCATGTATGAAGTCCTGGGTTCAATCCCCAGCATCTCCATATGGATGGATGGTGCCTCTTGTTGGCTATAAATTGTATTCCCCTTTAAATTGTCTCTTTTGCCTTGAAAGGACTGTGTCTCATTAGGCAGCATGCCCAATTCTGATGGGGAACGGAAGGTCGAAAAAAAATCATAATGGCCCAATGCGCATCTTGCATCTATCGCGGATACTTTGTGACGAGTGTCAAGGCCAGCACCTCTCAAATTAATACCCTGCCAAATGTGGGCACGCTTGTCATACCGGATGTCATGGAACCAATCAACCATTTGGGGGTTGTAGCTCAATATGTGAGGGAATGCTTTACATGCGTGAGGTCTAAGCTTAAACATGTAGCATCTTCACAGTGGCTTTTTGCTTTGCTCTTCAACCCTCAATGCAGTGACACTGGTTTTCTTATCAAAATAATGAGGTTCATAGGGGTCAAGTTTTAAATAAAATGTGATACAAGCTGCCATGCAGTTATGTAGTTTTTCAATGATCGTCTCTGTCATTGAAGGAAACAAGGGATCCAACTCCAATGTGTCCTGTGTGAAAGTGAAATGTCCCCAAACTCACTCAATCAGGCAATTAATGTTGGTTTTTACTTTTCCTTCAATAATTTAAGTGAGCTCTTCGATGCTGTATTTTCTGTTCGCTCTTGTTTCTCTTGTCTAATGACTTTTGGTATGAAGATCTGAAACCATTTGTAGCAAGAAATATGCGAAAATAGACAACATCACGAGTGAGCTAATACTTCTTCACAATTTCAGTATGAGGTTGAGGGTTCAATGCTCTGCATCCTCACATCAACTTCTCTGCATTGCTCATCAAACTTCAATAGACTGACAGTTTCTGATTCAAAGTTAAAGCCTTCCCAGGAGTGCCAGCTACTCTCAAAACACTCCAGCAAGCCTGCAAAATATTTCAATTTGAAGACTACCATAATCTTACCCCAGAGCCCTCTGTGGTAGGCCTTTTATTGGTTCCATGGTGCAATGGTTAGCACCCCGAACTCTGAATCCAGCGATCCGAGTTTAAATCTCGGTGGAGCCTTCTTTGTTAAAAAGAAAGATGCTTTGAGAATGTACTCTATGCTTATTTCCTCTGTTTTACTGCAGAAGTCTTGCTTTTTAGTCTTGTGAACATTCCAGAAGGCATTTAGTCTATCATTTTTCTTTCCAGATTATCCCCTTGTTGCTTGTCTAGTGGGATTCCTGTACATACCTTATTTTGTCAATGCAATCGTAGTTTGAACAGTAAGATTGAAATCCTGGCCACCGTCATATCGCTCACAGTCAATATTTACCAGTATTCCACATGGAAGGGTTCTCCACATGTGCAAGTAAACGTTTCACACGAGGCTTTCCATGTTGGTTGGGAAACTGAGTTGCACAGCTTTTTTCTAAAAAGATAATTAGTCATCTGTTTGAATCTTTCACATTTTTCCATCATTTTTAAATAGGGTTAAGAATAGTATTCATCCATGTACGTTCACTCCTTTATGACGATACTCAAATGCGCAGTTTGTACTAATCTCTCTCGGTGACCCTCGACTAACAATGAATGCTGAGGTTCGAGATGTAACGGTCTACACTCTGGACTTAAAGTCCCCCATTTTGAATGCAAATGTCAGTCAATTTGGCATTTACGAATTTCCGTGAAGTGAAGCCAGTGATTTGCATATCCTTACTGGTGGTACAAGACTAGGGCTGTGATGTTGGATTGAAATCAAATAAGCTACCTAGTCACAGTTGGTCACCACATTACTGCTCGGACATACTTGCCTTTGAAAATGGTATCAGTTATGCAAATGCTTTTTGTCAGATGAGAGTTGTCATTTTAAAGTAACTGCATTATGATCATACCTAATTAGAACAGAGTGAAAACTATGATTGCTTGGAATTATTCTAAATGAGAGATGAGCCTGAATGTTTGTAACTTAGCAGAAAAATTTTGTATTCATGAAATGAATGACCAAATGCTGGGCTTTTACAACAAGTTTTATGGGGATGTAGCTCAGTGGGAGAGCGCATGCTTTGCATGTATGAAGTCCTGGGTTCAATCCCCAGCATCTCCATTTGGAAAAATAGTGCTTTCAACTGCCTGTTTCATCTTGACAGGACAAGTTTCATAAGGCAGCATGCCCAATTCTGATGGGGGAAAAACAAAAAAAAGCGCAGTTTGATGCCCAAGGCATGTTTCAAAAAAAGCCATGAATAAAAAGTCCTGGGTTCAATCCCAGGCATCTCCATTGAGGGGTCTAAGTTTTTTCAAGTATTTTGTTTCATAATTTAAAGGTTCTGCTGGTTTCATCTTTTCCTTCAAAATGACTTTTGGTATGAAGATCTGTTGCTTCAAACCATTTGTCAGAAGAAATTGCAAGAAAAAATAGACAGCATCAGAGTGAGACTTCTTCAGGATTTCAGTATGAGGTTGGGGAAATGCTCTGCATCCTCACAACTTCTCTGCATTGCTCATCAAACAGACAAAAAAGTTAAAAAGATTTGCTAAGACTCCAACAAGCATGCAAAATCAATTTGAAGACTGAATTCAGTTTCTTTTTCTAATACAGAGGTTCTGCTGGTTCCATGGTGTAATGGTTAGCACTCTGGACTTTGAATCCAGTGATTCGAGTTCAAATCTCGGTGGAACCTTGCTTGCAAAAAAAGAAAGACGCTTTGATGAATATACTTTGCTGATTTCTTCTTTTTCAATGCAGAAGTCTTGCCTTTTTGGTCTTTGAACATTCCAAAAGTTATTTAGTCTATCTTTTTCCTTTCAGATTATCCGCTTGTTCTTGTCTTGTGGGATTCCAGTACATACCTTCTTTTGTCAATGCCATTGTAGTTTGAACTGTAAGAGTGGAATTCTGGCCACTATCCTGTCGCTCACAGTCAATATTTACCAGTATTCCCGTGGAAGGGTTCTCCACATGTGCAAGTAAATGTTTCACATGAGGCTTTCCATGTTGCTTGGGAAACTATGTTGCACAGCTTTTTCTAAAAAGATGATTATTCTTCTGTTTGGATCTTTGGCATTATTTTCTGTCATTACAAAATATGGTTAAGAAAGGAATTCATCCATGTACATTCCCTCGCATATTGGCGGTACTTAAAAGTGCTGTTTGTACAAATCTCTCTCGGCGACCCTCGACCAACAATGCATGCTGAGGTTAAAGATGTAACGGTTTACACTCTGAACTTAGGACCCCCATTTTGAATGTAAATGTCAGTAGAGTTGTCATTTCCAAATACCCTGTGAAATAGAGCTAGTGATTTGCATATCCTTACTGGTGGTACAAGACTAGAGCTTTGATGTTGGATTGAAATCAAATAAGCTACCTCGTCACACTTGGTCACCACATTACTGCTCGGACATAATTGCCTTTTAAAATGGTGTCAGTTATTTAAATGCTTATGAGAGTTGCCATTTTAAAGTAACTGCATTATGATCATACTTAAGTAGAACAGAGTGAAGAATTTTATCGCTTGGAATTGTTCTAAACAAGAGATGAGCCTTAATGTTTGCAAAAAAAAAATTGTGCATTTATGAAATGAACGACCAAATGCTGGGCTGACTATTTTCCTTTGTGGGGATGTAGCTCAGTGGTAGAGCGCATGCTTTGCATGTATGAAGTCCTGGGTTCAATCCCCAGCATCTCCATATGGATGGATGGTGCCTCTTGTTGGCTATAAATTGTATTCCCCTTTAAATTGTCTTGTTTTGCCTTGAAAGGACTCCTCTGCATCATCTCTGCATTGCTCATATCAAACTTCAATAGACTGACAGTTTCTGATTCAAAGTTAAAGCCTTCCCAGGAGTGCCAGCTACTCTCAAAACACTCCAGCAAGCCTGCAAAATATTTCAATTTGAAGACTACCATAATCTTACCCCAGAGCCCTCTGTGGTAGGCCTTTTATTGGTTCCATGGTGCAATGGTTAGCACCCCGAACTCTGAATCCAGCGATCCCAGTTTTAAACTTCAATGGAGCCTTCATTTTGTTAAAAAGAAAGATGCTTTGAGAATGTACTTATGCTTCCCCCTCTATTTTACTGCAGAAGTCTTACTTTTTAGTCTTGTGAACATTCCAGAATATTTCATTTAGTCTATCATTTTTCTTTCCAGATTATCCCTTGTTGCTTGTCTAGTGGGATTCCTGTACATACCTTATTTTGTCAATGCAATCGTAGTTTGAACAGTAAGATTGAAATCCTGGCAATTTCATATATCGCTTACAGTCAATATTTCCCAGTATTTCAGTATTCCACATGTGAAGGGTTTCCAGGCTTTTCATGGAATGCAGGTTTCCATGCTTTTTCTAAAAATATTTAATTTTTGTTTGAATTGAACCCCATTTAGTTTTTCATTTTTTAAAAAAGATTAAAATAGTATTCATCATGTTTGAATCTTTATGAGCCTTATTTCAAATACATTTTCCATATTTTTAAACCCTGGGTTAAGAATGAATATTCATCCATATATCGTCTTCTTCCTTTTTAAAGTTGTATTTTCAAATGCAAATGTTTGTCTATTTGGCATTCTGAATTTCTTTGAAGTAACAATGAATGATTGAGGTTCGAGATGTAACTGGTGGTACATGGACTTAAAGTCCTGTGATTTGAATGCAAAATCAAATAAGCTACCATTCACACGAATTTTTGACATTACTGCCAGGACATTTGCATATTAAAAAATGGTAGGTACAAGATAAAGGCTTTTTTGTCAGATTGAAATCAAATAGTACCTAGTCAGTTGAACATTACTAAAAGGACATATTGCTTGGAAAAATGGTGTATCAGTTAGCAAACCTGAAGAAAAAGTTTTTTTTTCAGATGAGAGTTGTCACCAAATTAACTGCATTATGACAAGACTAGGGTTTTATGTTGGAACAGAATGAAAACTACCTAGTCACAGTTGGAATTATTACTAAAATGAGAGATGAGCCTGAAAATGTTCAGTTATAACTTAGCAGAAAAATTTTGTATTTTGAAATGAACTTTCATTAATCCCCGGGCATGAAAGGACTGTTTTTTGGGGATGCAGCTAAATGGAGAGATCATGCATGTATGAAGTCCTGGGTTCAATCCCCAGCATCTCCAGTTTTTGGGATGTAGTGCTCATCAACTGCCTGTTTCATCATGACAGGACTGTTTTTCCTTAGGCAGCATGGTTACCTGTTTCAAAAGCCAGGAATTTTTTGATTTCCAGCATGCCCATCTTTCCGCTTAAAGGTTCAAAGTCAAAGGTTCTGCTGGTTCCATGGTGTAATGATTAGCAGAATTTGTTTGATTTTGATGTTCCATGGGAACAAGCTTTTTGATGACATATACTTTGCTGATTTCTTCTTTTTCAATGCAGAAGTCTTGTCTTTTGGTCTTAGGAACATTCAAAAGTTATTTAGTCTAACTTTTTCCTTTCAGATTATTCGCTGTTTGATTGTCTTGTGGGATTCCAGTACATACCTTCTTTTGTCAATGCCATTGTAGTTTGAACTGTAAGAGTGGAATTCTGGCCACTATCCTGTAAGCTCACAGTCAATATTTACCAGTATTCCACGTGGAAGGTTCTCCACATGTGCAAGTAAATGTTTCACATGAGGCTTTCCATGTTGCTTGGGAAACTATGTTGCACAACTTTTTTCTAAAAAGATGATTATTCTTCTGTTTGGATCTCTCTGGGGTTTAAAAAATGTAATTTTTTTGGATTTTGGCCCCCCCCTTTTAAGTAAAGTTTAATTGGAAATTTTAAAAAATTTTAAATGAATACTTATTTGAATTTCAAAAAAAAAAAAAGGGGATTTTTAAAAAACAAAATTCCCCTTTTAAATTTTGGGAACCCCTTTTGGGGGAAAACTTTCCTTTGAAATTGGTTTCGTTATTTAAAAAAATTTTTCTATAATTGTCTTTTTTTTTAAAAATTTTTTTTTTGGGCTTTAAAAAAGGGGGAAAAAGATCCCCTTTGGGAAAGAAAATGAAAAAAAAGGAAAGGGGAAAAAAAAGTGAAAATTTTTAAATAATACCAAAAATTTGGGGCCCCATTTTTAAGTAGTCTG